CCCTCTGCGAGAAGCCTCGTGCAACCACCCGAGCTTTAAATTTCATGCCCTTTTTAGAAGTGATTCCTTCCTTCTTCTTGTAGATCCACTTGTTTGTAACAATCTTCCTTCCCTGTGGTCGTTTGACTAGCGCCCAAGTCTGATTCCTGTCATGGGATTCCATCTCATCTCCCATTGCGGCAAGCCACTGATCAGCTTCGCCACCCGAAACGGCTTCTCTATAGGACTGTGGCTCTCCTGCATCCACTTCTTCAGCAACTTGAAATGAATACGCCACCATGTCCTCGAAACCATACCTTTGTGGAGGTACTCCTGCAGTCGCTCTCTTCGGTCTACCGGAAGCCATAGACTGTTGAGCTCGTGCACTGGACTCTAAAGTTTCTGGCTCTGCAGAGACATCCTCATCATGTTGATCTTCTCCACCTTGGTGCTCAAACTCAATCTCATTGAGAGTTTGCAGCTCCACTTGCTAATCAACATTCCTGCTACCTTCAACAACAGTAACCTTCAACATGGGGTTAAACATAGACTTGTCATCAAATATCACATTTCTACTGAGTATAACTCGATGCTCAGAAGGTGACCAGACTCGAAATCCAGTAACTCCATCTCCGTAACCCACAAAAACACCCTTCTTTGCCCTTGGGTTCAGTTTACCCTCATCCACATGATAATAAACAGAACACCCAAAAACTTTCAGTGAAGAGTAATCCGCAGGCTTACCATACCACACCTCATAAGGAGTCTTCAACTCGATACCTATGTGAGGTCCACGGTTGATCAGGAAGCACGCCATGTTCACTGCTTCTTCCTAGAATCTTCTCTCTAGTCCAGCATTAGAGAGCATGCACCGTGCTCTCTCCAACAATGTCTGGTTCATCCTTTCTGCAATGCCATTCTGCTGGGGTGTATCTCTCACAGTCCGATGATGGGCAATCCCTTCATCCTTGCAGAATTCGTTGAACTCAGAATTACAGAACTCTAGACCATTGTCCGTTCGCAGCTTCTTGATCTTCTTCCCGGTCTGATTCTCCACCAATGTCTTCCACTGCTTGAACTTCGTGAAAGCCTCACTTTTCTGCTTCATCATGAAAATCCAAGTAAATCTCGAATAATCATCAATAATAGACAGAAAATACCTGCTGCCTCCAATGGATTCAACTCGTGAAGGACCCCAACAGTCGGAGTGGAGGTAATCCAGTATCCCCTTCGTCCGGTGGATACCCTTCTTGGGAAACTTGCTGCGATGTAGCTTCCCAAACACACAATGCTCGCAGAATTCCAAATTCTGCATCCTGTGCCCGCAAAGAAGATCCCTCTTCGACAGAACTTGCATCCCCCGTTCAATCATATGCCCCAGTCTCATGTGCTAGAGAGTGGTCATATCTTCTTGATGAACCTGAGACGATGCAATGGCAGCAGAACCAGACAACACAGACCCTTGTAATGCATACAAGGTCCCACGCTTCACGCCCTTCAGCACCATCCTTGAACCTTTGCAGACATACACAACTCCACCTTTTCCTTTGAAACTGAAACCCTTGCTGTCGAGTAGACTCAAGGAGATCAGGTTCTTTGTCATTCGTGGAACATGCCTGACATCATTCACGGCACAGAACGAACCATCATGTGTCCGAACCTTTATGGACCCGATTCCAACAACCTTGCAGACAACTCCATTTGCCATGACCACGTTACCTCCATCTAACTGCTCGTAGGTTGTGAAGCAATCCCAGTTCGGAGACATATGGTATGAGGCTGCAGTATCCAGAAACCACACATCCCCACGATGTGCCTTCTCACCTACAGCCAAGGCGAGATCGTCTTCAGAACTGTTGTCCACTTCTGCCACGACAACTGAACCTTGTTTCTTCTGTCGCCCTCTTCTCTTGGGACAGTTGTACTTCCAATGCCCCACTTCCTTACAGTTGTGACAAGCATCACCTGGCTGTGGACCGGGACCCTTGGAATTCTTGTTCGAATTCCCTTTACCAGCTTTCTTCTTTCCCTTTCCACCTGTAACAGCCAAACCCGATGCCTCACCACCTGTACCAGATCCAGACGCCTTATGTCTAATCTCTCTCGTATGAAGAGCAGACCTGACATCCTCCAACGACACGCTTTCTTTACCAGCAATAAAAGAATCAACAAAATTCTCATATGAACTCGGCAAAGAAACCAGCAGGATTAGGGCAGCATCCTCGTCATCAACTTGAACATCTATATTACGCAGATCCAGCAAAATAGAGTTAAGCTGTTCGAGATGTTCCCTCAAAGGCGTACCTTCTTGCATCCTCAAGCTGAACAACCGTTGCTTGAGATGCAGCTTGTTGGTTAAGGACTTCGTCATATACAGACTCTCCAACTTTAACCACAAGCCCGCGGCAGTCTTCTCAGCAGTGACTTCAATGATGACATCATCAGACAACGATAGCATGATGGTTGAGTGGGCCTTCTCCTCCAGGGTATTCCACTCATCGTCATCGACCGCTGCCTTCTTCTGTTTCGCAGACAGCGGCCCCCACAGCCCTTGCTGTTTTAATAAAGCCTGCATCTTGATCTGCCATATAGCGAAGCTGTTCTTCCCCGTGAACTTTTCGATCTTCATGTTCACCGACGTCATTCTTCTGAATCGAAAACCCTAGCCTGATTTCCAGCCGCGGCTCTGATACCACTTGTTATAAACGCGCTGCTACGGATCGGGAAAACGTAGGAATCGACAAAGCAAGAATACGAAAGCAAGAATCGAAAACACGACACACGATTTACGTGGTTCACTAACACGATGTGTGTTAGCTACGTCCACGGGCGAGAGAGAGCCAGTTTCACTATATCAAGGAGATTACAGATTATAGAGGAGTATGAGAAGTATTTATAGTACTTCTCCATGTGGGTCTAAACCTAATCCAATCTGGAAAAGGAAACGGTTACAGACCAGGCCCAGAACCTGAACCCAAATAACATTGAGCCCATACACCGTGGGACCCCCGACTACCAGTCGTAGCGGATGATAGTCCGATTCAAGTTACATCAATACTACATATTTTCAACATTGTATGTTTTTTCATATTTGAGAGGTAGGACGTAGACAAACACAAAGAAAGAAGAGAGACACGGTGTTTACGTGATATCCCCGATAGATTGGGACTAGTCCATGGGGGAGATTAGTATCTCCAGCTTCTTCTCTTATTCACTGGTCACTTAGCCATTAGGCTGTACATGGTTACATATATAATGTGACCTAGCTACTAGGGTTACATGTTACTGTTTCTCACTACTTGAACATGGAAACGTAATACATGCAGCAGCTATAGGGGAGACACGGGCTGGATCCAAGTCGGACGTGGGCTCGGGCTCGCTACGAGACTCTCCTCGGCCCAATACGCCTCTGCAAGCTGAACGGTGGATATCACGAACGTAAAGCTTGGAGAGCAGGAACTGGAAACGGTTGGTACCCAACCCTATTGTGAAAATATCTGTAAGCTGCATGTCAGTGTTTACTTTGCGCGGAGCAATGTCACCAGAAACAAAGCGCTCGCGAACAAAGTGGCAATCCATCTCCACGTGTTTCGTGCGCTCATGAAAGACTGGATTGGGGGAAATGTGAAGAGCCTCCTGATTGTCGCAGTTACAGTGGAGTGGCATGAGAAGAATGAACACCTAGCTTGCGTAGTAACAAACGAAGCCACAAGACTTTGCTAACAGTGCTAGCCATAGAACGATACTCGGCTTCAGCTGACGACCGAGCAACTACATTCTGCTTCTTGTTACGCCAGGAAACAGGAGCAGAACCGAGGGTGATGAATAACCCAGTAGTGGAACGACGTGTACTCTGACAGCTGGGCCAATCGGCATCACAATAAGCAACCAAATCAAGTGAGCCATGTGTCGGGAAATAAAGACCTTGTCTAGGAGACAGCTTCAAGTATCGGAGGATGCGAAATGCAGCATCCATGTGAGCCTGGGTGGGCGCATGGACAACCCGACTAAGGATATTCACACCATAGGTGATATCAGGACGAGTCACAGTCAAATACTGAAGACACCTAATAAGGCGACGATAAGATGACCCATCGACGAAGGAACTAGACACCCCGGGCTTGATCAACTGCTGATTTTTCTCTACGGGGAATAGACTAGGACTTGCCCCCTGCACACCAGCCTCCTCGAGTATGTCAAGGACATACTTGCGCTGGCTAGCTAAGAATGATTCCTGTGGGAGAATGGGCAACCTCGATGCCCAAAAAGTAACGGAGGGGCCCCAAATCCTTGATGCTGAACTGACGATCCAATAAGAGTTTAACCCGATTAATGAAGACGAGATCATTACTCGTGAGCAGGACATCATCGATATAGATCAGGGTTGCTACAAAGACATCATCCCTGAGATAGAGAAAAAGGGAGTGATCCGTAGGGGAGGACCGAAAACCCATCTCACAGAGAGCAGCCGTGAATTTTTTCTACCAGTTCCTGGATGCCTGTCGCAAACTGTAAAGTGACTTGTGTAGACAACAAACACGCTGGTTATAAGGGGCAGCAAAGCTAGGGGGAATGCGCATATAGATCTCTTCCTGCAGATCATCGTGCAGAAAGGCATTATTGACGTCCAACTGGTGAAGGAACCAACCACAATGAACCGCTACTGCAATTAAACAGCGGACAGTGACCAGCTTGCCAACTGGTGCGAAGGTATCATGAAAGTCGACTCCCTTGATCTGTGTGAAACCCTTTGCTACGAGATGAGCTTTGTACCTCTCAATCGTCCCATCAGGACGATACTTAATCTTAAATACCCACTTGGCATCAATGATCCGACGGCCTGGAGGTGGCATAACGAGGATCCACGTGCCATTCTGCTCCAGGGATGCAATCTCCGCGACAATCGCGGCGCGCCAGCAAGCAAAACGAACGGCCTGGCTGAAAGTGCGAGGCTCGTCGTCTCGTGTGATGGATGGAAGGAAACTAAGATAATGCTCAGAGACGTTAGCATATGAGGAAAAATGAGACGATGGGTACCAGATGGTGGAGGCGCCAGCAAAATTAGTGTCGTAAGCATCAAAGTGCTTTGGACGAGCACGCTGGCGGTCGCCACGACGGGGAACAGGTGCCGCGATGGCGTCCGGAGGGGAGGACTCAAGAGCAAGAATGGGACAAGACGTAGGAGTAGTTGGCCGGTCCGCGGGCGGAGACTGGGGAGCAACATTCCCAGGCGATGAGGGGACCTCGGAGTGACCCGACGGGACTGATGAAGGCTGATATGGACCGAAAGAGCCTCATCGCAGAGTACTTCAGGAGAGATCCAATGATATTCCTTCGGGTACTGCGCACGATAGGGGAAATGAGATTCATGAAAGATAACATCACGAGAAACAATTACCTTCTGTGCATCAAGATCGAAGAGTCGATATCCTTTCTGGTGCGCAGCATAACCCAGGAAAACACAAGTGCACCCCAGTTCGGCAAACTTGTGGAGATGACTGTGAGTATCCTTGGCATATGCCAAACAACCAAACACCCGTAAATTATCATACTTGGCCATGCGACCAAACAAAACCTCGAATGGAGTCTTTCTCGTGGCTGACGTGGGAAGACGATTAAGGAGGTAAACTACAGTAAGAACACATTCTCCCCAAAACCGGACAGGTAAACTGGCATGTAAACGCAGTGCCCGAGCGGTGTCCAATATATGACGATGCTTGCGCTCCACGATGAAATTCTGCTGGAGGGTGTCCGTGCAACTGGTTTGCAGAATGATACCAGAACGCTCATAAAACTCGGACAGTGAGGAGGTGCGAAACTCGGAACCGTTATCTGCCTCGATGCGTCGAACTTTCTTGTTGAACTGAGTACGGACCATCTCACAAAACATCATGACAAGCCGACCAACATCAGACTTAAACTTAATGAGATAAACCCACACAGCACGACTAAAACCATCCACGATAGTAAGAAAGTAATGAGCACCACTCAGGGATGGTTGATGATATGCACCCCAAATATCCATGTAAATTAACTCAAAACAATCTGTGGTCTTAATAGAATTGACTGAAAACGACAACCGAACCTGTTTAGCACGCGAACAAGGATGACAGGGTTCCAAAGTTTTACTAACAGAGAAAGGAATAACATGACTGAGCTGTGACATAAGCTCTAAAGACGGATGACCTAGCCGCTCGTCCCACCTCTCCTGGGCAACTCGACGAGCACGATCAGCTGCAAAATGCGGAACTTTCATGACTCCCAAACAACTTCAAGTAATAGAGACCGTCACGCAATTCACCCTTACCAATCGCTTTCTTGGAGCGTAAGTCTTGAAGGATACACAAGTCATGCATAAAGGTTAAGGCCATACTGTTATCCTGCATCAACCGACTTATTGATATAATCTTGGAATCAATCAAATTCCAGCCATGATTAATCGTCAAAGAGGCCAAGTCGAATTGCGTGAAAGAAACAGAAAATTGTCAAAGTCAAATTCCGTGTTCAGGTAGCCGACTTTGGAGGCTTGTATCCACAAATAGCTCAATGAAAATTGGAGATGAAGGTCTTGTTTTGAAAATAAAGTTGTCATCTTTCAAATGTTATACTTGTTGGATCCAGAATATGTCATTAAGGTTGTTTTCCAAGGCCTCAAAGTTGCTACCTCAAAACTGGAAAACTGCCAGGAAATTGTCAAGTATAAATCTATACTCATGAAGCCTACTTTGGAGCTCAATTTGAGGAGCATGGATCTGATTCAACTCAAAAGGCTTCTACAACATGAAAATATGTATGTTTATATACCAAGGGAAGGAATCGGATGACAGATTGGAGTTTTGGAAGGCGCGAAGTTAGTACAGATATTGTTTTTGGACAACTTGCTGGCAGATTACTTGCGCTTGAAGAAAGAGAGTTTAAATCCGAATTTTGTGTCCTTTTTAATGTAGAATTTTATATTAATTGTTTCCTAGTTTCTAATTCTATTAGGATTGTATTAGGTTTTATTTGCCTTTAAATACCTTTCTTTTTTGTTGTAAAATTCAGAATTTGATGAATTGAAATAGAACCTTTGGGTTTTTACAAGTTTGCGTACTTGTGTGAGCTTTGGTGGATTCCAAACTTGTTGAGCTCTTGTATCGATCAAGAACGCGTTGATCGTGGCCGGGCATCTACCTTTATATCATTCGAGCCTTCTTTCACGTGAAAGATTGCACGTTTGATTCCTTTTTATCCAAACACTCAAAAATATCCTTGTTTTTTGTTCGAATTTCATTTTAATCAATCCGATCCTTGGATTGATTGTGTTCTGCGTACTTTGGTAAAAATCCAACCCCCCAGGGTTGCATTACTTACTGACAATAAGTTGCACCGAAACTGTGGGACGTGTAAAACTCAGAACTATCAAGAAATTTACCTGCCATGCTTGCAGAAGGGTCTTCCGTCGGCTTGGGCTGCTCAAAGAACTTTTGCAGCTGCTCCAACTGCACCAGCGAGAAACCAGAAACCGGACTCACTTCACCCTTGACTTGGGCTGCTCGGGGAGGGCCTTCTGCTGGACTTCAACGCGGTCGCCTTTCGGCACGTTCTGGCTGGCCGGACTTGGCACGAGGTGGCCATCCTATGATGTCATAGCATGTTTCCTTGTAATGACATGTCTTACCACAGTGTGTACATTTTGGACGAGGTCGCGAGCTGGAGGACTGGTCGTAGTCAGCACGAGGGGAATCACCTCGCACGGCAAAGGCTGCGGCCTCGACTCTAGGACGACGTCGTTGACTGAGAAGGTGCTGCTTCTCATCGTTGGCAACCATGTTATAGGCTTCAGCAAGGCACGGGGATGACTTCATAGCGAGAATCTGACTGCGGACTATCCCAAAAGAGTCGTCCAGCCACATTAAGAAGTCAAAGAGACGAGTGCAATCTTCCCTTGCCCTCGTTCTGCGCTCCAAACCACACTTGCACTGACCACATGTGCATTTTTCTGGAGGGTAAATTGCTGAGCTTCCTCCCACAAGGTGCGTAGCTGCGTATAAAAGGAAGAGATGGTGAGCTTTTCCAGCCACAAGCTCGCCACGAGACGCCGCAACTCGTATCATCGGGTGAGGGCAATCTGACCAAAACGATCCTTGACATCTAGCCATATTTCTCGTGGCGTCTTAGTGTACCTCACGCTGCTGCGAATTTCATTGTTCATGGAAGTACGCACCAATCCCTTGACAACGGCATCGCAACGGCTCCAAGGACCATTCTCGGGTCCATTCTCGAGATTGACTAGCATCCCATCAACGAAGCCGAATTTATTCTTGACTATGAAAGAGTCGGTCATGTCAACGACACACTTGTTGTAGTTTGTGGGGGTTAAGACTTCCCAGATGTGCAGCTGACCAACATTGTCCGATGGATGGAAGAAGAGCGTTGATGACGGATCGGCGACGTACAACTGGCCGGACGTACCATCAGCAGACTTGGATGGCTTCTCCCCATCGTTCGGACCCTTCGATTCCTCTCTATCACTCATGACGACAAGATGCGGAAAAGACTAGGTTCCCTAATCGAGCATCTCTGATACCATGAGAACTAGGGCGTAGACAAACACAAAGCAAGAAGAGAGACACGGTGTTTATGTGGACTAATCCACGGGAGAGATTAGCCTCTCCAGCTTCTTCTCTTATTGACTGATCACTTAGCCATTATGTTGTACATGGTTACATATATAGTGTGACCTAGCTGCTAGGGTTACATGTTCCCGATTCTCTCTACTTGAACATTGAAACGTAATACATGCAGCAGCTATAGGGGAGACACGGGTTGGATCCAAGTGGGACGTGGGTTCGGGCCTGCTACGAGACTCTCCTCGGCCCAATTATATTTAGTATTACTAGATAATTTTTGTTAGCTCTGTGATGGAGAGTTGTGAACATCTAATTGAGATATATTAGATTGAATTACATTAATTTTTTTATTATGGTTTGAATTCTATTGTAAAAATGTGTACTTTTAATTTTGATTTTATAGATTTTCTTTAAAAAAATATATATCGCCTTGTCTTTATAAAAAAAATTTAAGACTTCTTGGTTTACCATCTACGTAAATTAAAGAGGGCAAGTGAAGGAGGTGACATAAGTTAAGTACAGTAATATTTTCTTTTTTCTAGATATATCTTCTAAGATTTAAAAATTATTAAATATTTGACTATATATATGATAATACTGGAATAGTGATTTGAACATTACACGATACTCGGGAACTTCTAGTGAGATATATCTATCTAAACCATGAATTATATCGAGTTTGGAGTATAATATTATATCATAACCTCTAATTGATAAACCACAGACTTGATTATCTAAACTCATATCCGAAAGATCAATAATATCAAAGAAAATTTATTTACAAATCTGATTATGAAAGTACAACGAAGTACATTCAATGATTAGATCACTTACAGAAGTGGTTAACAATAAATGAATTAAGTTATATGAAAATATCACATTTGATCAAATTTTTGTGTAAAAATAGCCCGATTATTCTTCACCTGTCGGTGTCGCTGTCCCTCCCCCACGAGCTAGTCCTTCCCGAAGTGTGATGTGGCGGAGATGAGGTCCTTGAAAGTCAAGCTCATCACTGTATTCGTTCATCTCGTACAACTATTAAAAACACTTCAATCTATAACTAGCCGTCCAAATAAATAAACTGAACTGCTACTTTAATAGGTTTGACCGTTCTACCATCCATCCACTGATTTGATTCTTACAGTAATTACATTACTTCAAACAATATTTACCAATTTTATCTTGACAATTTGAAAATATAATTAACCTTCCCTTGAACCTCTCTTCTTGGCTTCATGCCACTACAAAAAAAAAAGTCTATGGCAAGGGTTATTTTCATCCGTAATAAGGGTTTTAACCCTTGCTACAGGATGTAGCAAGAGTTCGCATGACCCTTAGACGGACACTTGGCAAATCCACCCCTGCTATGTGTAGCAAAGGTTATAAGTGACCCTTGGTGCAAGTCTTTTGCAGGGGGCGTAGCTAGGGTTAAGCCCTTATTATACGTCTGTGTAAAATTCAAGTAAAAGCAACTCGTAACATGGGTTAGAACCCTTGGATAATCTGTTCCTACAGCTAACAAGGGTTTGAACCCTTCCTACACACCTATGTAAATTGCTACGAGGATGTCCTACTTGCAAGGGTTAAAACCCTTGCACAGTTTGTGACTAAAGCTAAATAAGTTC